GGAATCAAAATCCCGTCACCCGCTTCGGAAGGACGTTGAAGTATGAAATCAAACTGACCCCATAATTTTCATAGTTTAAAATGAAAGAGCACTGTACCTCAAATCCTGTATCTATCCCGAAGGATAAACACAAAACTTGAGGAAGAGGCTCGATCAAATAAACTAAGAAATATATGACGTCTGTTTGGTCTGCGAAACCATTATATTTGCCGACAAGTTCCCCTATTCAATATAAAGAATTAAATAGGGTTTATATTAAGTTGGGTTTAGACATGCTTCTTATAAGGGCAAGCCCCTATAGTTAATTACATCTTAAATTACCAAAGTCATTAAAAAAAGTAAAGAAAACTCTCGATAAAAATCAAGGAATATTATCTTCACGGAATTTCAAAGGGTAGGACTTTTAAATGAGATCGGACTAGGAGGTGTGAAAGGGGATTGTATCAAATTTGGAACATTTATTATAGAATTCAAAAGAGCAAGAACTAGGGGATGTCATGGATCTAGAGGAGAACCTCGGAGACTTCCCAAGTCATCCTAACGTTTGGCTTAAATTTTGAGAAGAAATCTTTAAGTGTTTCATCCTGCCAATTTTATTTGTTACGTCTTACATTCATGTGAAATGATCATACAAATAGCCTGGAAGATGTGAGGATTTAAGTATGTGAGGATTTAAGAGGATTTAAGTCGTGACGGACGACAACCTCAGAATCCTAAGATGAGTTAGGGCTTATATTGTATAGTACGGCTATACAAAGGCTTAAAGATATGGTGAGGATTTACGTTGCATAAGCAAGCAACCTCGAAGTCCTATGACTTTGTTTTTGTTGTTTATATCTAAGGGAAGAAGATTGGTTTAGCTGGGGAAGACAGGTTCTGCTGTTGAAGATGGTCGTGCTGCCTGTCATGCTAGCTTCAAGCTCCTTGCCATGACGAGTTTAAGTTTTCTAATGTGTCAAGTTATAATGTCCAATCAAGTAGCCCAATGGTTTAAGTTCTTTAAATTTTATGAGGGCATGTTAAAGTTAATTAAAGCGACACCGGTTAGGATCCTACGGTTCCCTCGTTCCGGCACCACTATTTTCTATTAGATTCACTTACTCCAAATGAATTTATTAAACTCAACTTAATGAGTTCCATAATTTCATTTAGACCGTGAGAAACGTCGTTAGCAACCGTAGGTTACCTCCTCCGAGGGATTCCCGATCATCTGATATATACATCTTAATTTAGTTGTAGTTGTAGTTTTTGTGATGTTTGTGATTAAATTTTGAGTTGTTTTATATTTTGAATGTTGTGGCAGTGAAGTTTATCTTTGTTGATTTTAGTTTTAGTTTTAGTTTTGGTTTCGTGGTTATCCTGATAGTTTTAGTTTTCATGTAGGGTGGCATCGTTATTTAGCATGCAAGTTTTGCAAGTATAAAAGTACAGTATGAAAGTACAAGAAAGACAACACTGAAAACAAAAGTAAGGTTTTGG